CACACACACACACACAAATTAAATACACATTAGAATGATGCAGGAAAACAATGTGATTAAAATGTCTGTGAAACGTACTCATCTCAGAATTGAAACTTATCATCATTTAGTCTAAATACACAGATGAGAACACAGACTCCTCAATTTTAGGATTTAGCTCACACAAAATCAGAATCACTGTGCTGACTGTGGTGAGTCAGGGATGAGGAAGATCTCAGCAATCTCTTGGATTCAGTGTCTATGCTGGCACAAGTTAACATTTGCTTTGGAGAAACTAAGTTATTTGACCAAAACAAGTAGGAGATAAACATTTTTTTTCTTTTTCTTTTCTTTTTTTTTTTTTTAGAAGGAGTCTCACTCTGTTGCCCAGGTTGGAGTACAGTGGTATGATCTCAGCTGACTTGCAACCTCTACCTCCCAGGTTCAAGCGATTCTCATGCCTCAGTCTCCTGAGTAGGTGGGGTTACAGGCGCCCACCACCACGCCCAGCTAATTTTTGTATTTTTAGTAGAGATGGGGTTTCACTATGTTGGCTAGGCTGGCCTTGAACACCTGACCTCAAGATCTTCCTGCCTTGGTCTCCCAAAGTGCTACGATTACAGGCGTAAAAACAATGTTTTTGTAAGTGCTCAAGTAGAATAATACTACCGGTAACAGATTTATAGGCACTCTAGAAAAAGATGTTTTTGGAGCTGAAAGTTCTAAACTTTGTCTTGTTACCATTTATTATGTGACTAGAAAAGTCATTAACCTCTGATCCTTAGTCTCTTCATTTATAAAATCAGAATAATGACACCTGCTGTACTTATATTTCCTTGTAGTTATAAATTAAACTACTGCACTAGTACTATTTCTACTAGTACTATTATTACTAATTACTATTATTATCACTAATAATATTAATTTCACCAATAACTGAAGCTTCCTATATACCGAACTTTGTGACTTACTTTTCATACCTCATAGCTATATCAAAACCTTCTCAATAGTCCTGTCAGGTAACTATTCTGATTTTCTTCTCATCTCAGAGTGATTAAATAACTTGCCAGAAGTCACACAGCTATTAAGAGCTTGCATGGAAATTTATATCCAGATCTGACTCCACGTTTCATTTTAGATCCATTATATCTTGTTTTCTCTGATGTACTATATGTACATTCATATACAATATCAACATATAATACATATTATCTCTATAACATAGATATATTATTCATTTTATATACATACAGACATACACTTATGCTGTGAATTCTGAAATGCAATACCAAGGCTCTCTTTCATTATTTTTTTAATGTCAAAGCCTAATGAATAAAACAAAGTAGGTATTTAATCAACATTTGGGGAAAATAAACTGATAGAAGAGACGTAAAGGTAACTAAGATAATTTTGAGTGAACTGTTCATTAACAAGTGTGTCAGCAGTAACAGTGGTGATTTAAATCCTCCTCATCTTCAATATTATGTTATTAAAAATTACTCTTTAGAAGACACATATTGTATGACACTACTTATATGTGGAAGATTTTTTAAAAAGTTGAATTCATAAACAGAGAGGAATGGTGGCTGCCAGAGGCTGGGGTGTCAGAGAAAAGAGGAGATACTGGTCAAAGGGTACAAATTTGCAGATCGAAGAAGAATAAATTCTCAGGACCTAATATACAGCAAGGTGACTACAGTTAACAATACTGTACTGTATACCTGAAATTTGAAATTTGCTAAGAGTGTAGAACTTCTGCATTCTCACCCACAAAAAGACAACTATGTAAGGTGATGAATGTATTAATTAATTGTGGTAAACATTTCACTATGTACATGTATGTTAAATCAGCACATATACTTTAAATATATAAAGTTTAATGTGTCAATTAGATATCAATGAAGCTGAAAAAATTATTCTATGAAAAAAATACACAGATTTTTTTTTTTTTCAATCGTTTAGGTTCAATTCTAGGTACAAAGTTGACTGATAGAAAAGCAGCTATTTTCAATAAACGAGGGCTGCAATCTAACCCTATGGTCCAGGTAAAAGGAGAGAGAAAAGATTCATTTAAAAATCATATATGAGTTCTATTTTTCAAAGGATGAACATATTACCTTCCAAATTTAAATAATCTAAAAAGCTATTCTGTCATTTCCTATCAAAACAAGATAACAATACTTGCCATATTTCCCTTGACTTTGTGTAATAATGATGATGATAATCAAGTAGTGACGTTCAAAAAGAACAACTTTTTTTTTTTTTGCAGAGTTCAGAAGGGTGCAGGAGGTATTAGAAAAGATGCACAGAGGTCTTATATCTCATCAAAGCATGAATTTCCAACTCTTTAAAACACTCCATTCACTGCCCTAATCTCCCAAAGAGCATTCAGCTGAATGAAAAGCTGCTGACATTCATGCCAGTTCACAGCTAGAATGACACGGCTGGGGGACAGGAGACGCTGTAGTTTCCATTATCCATTGAACACCTTGGCAATTCTTATTTCATCCTGTGAATGTGATACTTACTCTTGTACTGCTCTGGCTATGGAAAGGGCCGTAGATCCAGTTTCATTAACGCTATCTAAGGTCACATTTGGCAGGTCATCATCATCACTGTCACTTTTACTTTGTCTGGGAGATAGGCCTCGGGGGTCCATTTGTGCTGGGGAGAAAAGGCATATATAATGAATTAAAATCAGTGCGCAGAAAGTTAACCTTGTCCTGGACCAACATCAAGCATGGAACTTCTCTTCTGTGCATATCAAGCAAACGGAATTCTTTAGACATCACAGGAATTACTGAAAGCTCCACATTTTATGTTCTGAGTACTTATTCTTTTCCCCTTCATTGGATTTACAAAACCTATACCAGCTCTCTAGAGTTTCAGGGTATGATTATAGAATAGAAACTATAAAATCCACAATATTACCAACTCCTGAGTGGTCAAAAGCTGATTACGTAGCTCCTGAGCCACTGTTCAACCCTCTGGTTTCTCCTCCTCCTTGCTTCCGCTGCCAGAGCTCTAGCCATTTCACTGCTCATTAGCACTCTCCCTGGAAGGTAGAGAGCATGCGGAAAGGAGATATTAGTTGCTTATAGCTCTCATAATAAGATAAAAGAAGAACAGGGTTTGCGTGACTAAAAGAAAGTATACATACTTTTCTTACTTCAGTGAATCACTGTTTCCAAGTTCATTACGACTATAAGGTGGGATTTGAAGGCATAAAAATGGCAGAAGTGGTAGCATTTTAGAAATCTTGTTTATATGTGCTAACAGTGCTCCTGAACTCTATCCTGATTTTATTTTTCAAAAAGCCACTTCCAGATATGATTCTTCTCCCACTGTGAATTTGCCAAAGCAGGAAATGGCACAATGTTCTGACCCCTGATGGCCAAGACTATCAGATCCTTGGGTTGCTGTCAACATACCTTAACACATATTTTTAAAAATTAGATTTCATTTCCACTCCCTTTTCCCTATGAATAGATTTAGCAACCACTGCCCAGTATTTCTATCAGCCCTCGCTTCGAGCACAAACTAGGCATATCTTTTCAATGAAAAGTACCACATGAGCTACACACCCACACTGTTAAATGTATGGCTGCCTAAGAGTTCTAAAACCACCACTGCTTGTGGGGGAAGGCAAAATGCAAGTGAAATCATGGTCACAATGACATTTGGGTACATTTCATAATTTCATTTTTTTTTGGTCTCAAATCACTTTTTTTGGTTACTGTATATCATACATTACATTGAACCACGTGGAATTGCTGAGAATGCACCATTTTTACCCACTAAATGGCAACTTCAGATGATTGTGTCTACTATTTACAGTCTGGGTAGAAAAACTATATCTAGACAGTTTCAACATATTTCATTACATTTCTAACTACACTTGGTTAGGAAAGAACTTACATCTAGTCAACCTCGTGTGCACCCATGTATTTGACACACATCCTGCCTATAAATATACCAAAATGTGCTTTGCACAATGGAAGTGTTTGGTAAATACTAAATTTAAAAGAAGATAATTCAAATAATATAAAGTAGTGGTCCTCAACCAAGGGCAAATTTGCCTCCCAAGAGACACCTGGCAACATGCAGAGACATTACTGTTTGTCACAGCTTGCGGTGGGGGGCAGGGACGGTGCTACTGGCATCTAATTGGCAGAGGCTAAGGATATTGCTAGACATTCCACCATGCACAGGACAGTCAGCCCCTCACAGCAAAGAATGAACCAGTTCAAAATGGCAGAAGTACCCAGGTTGAGGAACTGATCTAGAGATTTAAGAGTTTGGACATATAAAGGTGTCACAGTTTATGACCTTCAGCTCCTATGCAACTATGCTTTCATTTCAACATTGCTAACAAGGAAATTGTCACACACCAGATTATCCATATTTTCTGGCCTTGTCTTACAAAACAACAACAACAACAACAAACAACAATTAACTGTCATATGACTCTCTACCTCCTCAAATGTTAGGAATTAGGCAATAATATTCATTAAGAGCTTTTGAATATTTTCTTTGTACCACCAGCTATGAGACAAAAAGACTGTTAATTTGCCATCTGATCTCTGGAGGAGTTCCACTAGAAGAGGGATGTTGGAGAAACCGTGGGGCAAAGCAACCAGTTCCATCACCATCTGGTAACAGGGAGCTTAACTACTCAGTCACTGGAAGGGCAATTGAAGGAACCGTATCACTTAAGATTTATTTTGGCTGTAGGCAACAGAAATTGGCTTGGGCTAACTTATATTAAAAGGAATGTACTGGAAAGATAATGAGTAGCTGACAGAATGGAAGGTCAAGATGAACAACCAACACTAAAAGAACGTAGGATCCAGGAATGACTTTGTGTAATAATATGAATTCAGTTAGGAATTCATAGAGAGCTTCTTTGGGGGCAATCCTGTTCTAGAATGATTCATTTAACAGTCATTCCAACTATTCAAAGCCAGCCAAGAAAAATGAATATCAGATCTATCTAAGCTTCCAAATCACATATTGTGTGGTGCTGCATATACCTGTAAATGTCAACAATTTAACATTTAAAGTTGTTGAAACATCATGCACTACGACGCCTTTGCCAAGGTACCAAATTTGCAAACAGCCAAGAAAAAAGAAAATATTCTGATAGTCTCATTTTGTCTAAGACAACTAGAGCTCTTATAGTAAATAATACAACTCAAGGAAGATAGAGGCAGTTAACCATGAGCAATCTGGCTCTGAAAGTTAAAGTCTAATTGTATGAAAGATTCCAAAACCTTGCGTGAGAGTTGTTACATGATCATCTAATTATGTTATGTTTATATCTTAATGAAAGTTTAAAATATGTTAAATATGATATCTTTTTGATGTACTTTTCAGGAGCATAATTGAGGATTTCTTTCCAATATTTTCAATAAATATTATGAAATACATCTGCTACCATCATGCTGCGAAACTCTTTTTACCCATACCTTCAGCCAAGCTGAGGAAGTAATTAGAAAGGCTTTTCAAAATCTGCATTGCTGATTAGGTCAGATGATTAGCTTATCTACATACTTGCATAATTCCACTCTATTTTTATTAAATGTAGAATAGGGACATCAACCCTAGTTAACCTCCATCAGTCTTTGAGCATCTCAGCCCATTTAGGAAGGACTGATTCTCTGGGGTGCCCATTTAAAGACCAAAGAAAGTTACCTGGACACCAGAAACAAAAAAATATCAACTTCTGTAAGTAAGAGAACAGGAGGTGATCTATAAACACCTGAAAAAAATTTACACTGAAGATTGTATTGCTCTTTAATGAAAAAGGGATCAGACAGTTTTGGGTAACGCAGCCACTGCTGGTAGAGGGACAGTTTTGGGTAACGCAGCCACTGCTGGGAGAGGGACAGTTTTGGGTAACGCAGCCACTGCTGGGAGAGGTGCCATTCCTCAGAGTTGGAGGTGTTCTAGAATCCGATGTGAGTTTCATTCCATGTGTCAAAATCCTGGGGAGAAAATTTCAGAACCCAACACCTGAAGTTCAACTGATTTACTTTGATTTTCAAATACTCCCCTATGGTAGATTGTTACTGTAATGATCCCTCCAATAAATCATGTCTGTCTGTATCCATGCCCTGATGTGGCCACTTCTCAACAATGACTCTGGGCTTGGCTCTAAGACTTGATGTGATCAATGGGACATTAGCAAATGTGACACAAGTAGAGGCTTGAAAAGAGCTTGTACCTTGGGTTTCCCCTTTTCTCTTGCTGTTTTTAGAACCTAGTCACCTTGTGAAGAAGCCCGGGAGAGTCTATAAGAGACAAGCTGCTCAGCAGGCAGCCAATCCCACTGCAAGCCATGTCAGTGAGCCATTTTAGACCCACCAGCTACATTACAGTCGCCAGATGACTACACCATGAGTGACCCCAGGTGAGATCTGCTTAAAAACTTTCTGGCTAAACGCATGCCACATTTCTGACTCACAGAATTTTGAGCAAATAAAATACCTGCTGTTTTAGGCGGGGTGCAGTGGCTCACACCACTGTAATCCCAGCATCTTAGGAGGCTGAGGCAGGAGGCCTGCTTGAGCCCAGGAGTTTGAGACCAGCCCAGACAATGTAGTGAGACCCCACCTCTACAAGAAATTTAAAAAAATAGCAGAGTGTGGTGGCACATGCCTGTAGTCCCAGCTACTTGGGAGGCTGAGGTGAGAGGATCACTGGAGCCCAGGAGGTTGAGGCTCCAGTGAGCTATGATCGCACCACTGCACTCCAGGCCTGAGCAACAGAGATCTTGTCTCAAACAACAAAACAAAACAAAACCAAAACAAAACAAAACAGCAAAACAAAAAGAAAGAAAAAGAAAGAAAGAAAAGAAAAAAGAAAAAGAAAAGAAAGAAAAAGACAAGACTTGCTATTTTATTCTACTAAATTTTAGGGTGAGTTGTAGGGCAGCAATAAAAAGTCAATGCACCAGGTTATTCTCCCAGCTCCTTCTAGAGATTTCCTAGCAATGATGTAGATGAACTACAACTACAATTAGTCAGCCTACAACAATATTAAACTGAATTAAGTTTGGCCTAAAGCTGCCTCTATACATGTTTTAAGTTTGGCATAAAGTTTCTTCTGTACATAGTGAGCTGTAACCTAACTTGATGTGGAAACAGACCGTAACCTTCTCTTGCAACAAGTAGCTGAGTTTCGGTCAATCAAAGGTGGCCAACTGTTGAAACCAGATTCAATTAATGCATATGCTGCGTTTTAACCAATTGAGCTGTCTCTGTACCTCACTTCCATTTTCTGTATGTCACCTCCTTTTCTCTGGCTATAAATATAATCTGCACATGCAGTAGGGTGAAGCATTCTGAACATTTCTGGTCCAGACTGTTGTCTGATTCTGGAATCAAATTAAAGCCAATTAAAGTCTGCAAAATTAGATTTGTTTACTTTTTTTTTTTTTTTTTGGAATCAAGACCCATGCATTCATGTGTCCTATTTGACATTTCTTCTTCTTCTTTTTTTTTTAATTATACTTTACGTTCTAGGTACTTTTAACAACGTTCTTCTTTATTCTCCTCCCAAGAGCCAACCTTGTTCTAGTGACATAAAAGCTACCTACTGCATTCTACATCATTTACTTTTCAATTCAAAATTTTCAAATGTATTTACAGGTGCTTCGGCTT